CGCACACACGCACACACACGCACACGCACACACACGCGCACACACGCACACACACGCACACGCACACACACGCACACGCACACACACGCACACACACACACAACATAATCATGTGATTCTAATAAAGGAACTTGGCCTAAGTGCAAATTGTTTGAGTACAATGGAGAAGAGAAACACACAAAACATTATTATACATATACATAAACATATACATATACATATAAAACAGAACATTATTTGCTAACCACGTGATACTTAAAGACAGGGTGGGGGCTGCAGAGATGGCTCAGCAGTTAAAACCACCCTGGTTTAGTTCTCAGCACCAAAATGACAGATCACCACCATTTGTAACCCCAGTAGATCCAGTACCCTCTTCTGGCTTCTGTGGGTACTAGACACACAAATGTACAGACATACATGCAGGCAAAAACATTCATACACATAAAGTAAGTAGGTCTTATTTTTAAAGAATTATTTATTTTATATGTGCGAGTGTACTTCAGACACACCAGAAGAAAGCATCAGATCCGTAGTGGTTGTGAGCCACCATGTGGTTGCTGGTAATTGCATTCAGGCTCTCTGTGGAGGATTATCTTGACTGTCTGAGGTGCGAAGACCTGCTCACTGTAGATAGTGCCTTTTCGTAGCTGGGATCCCAGGGTGTGTAAGTGATGAAAGGGAGTGGGACCACGGGCTGCATCCCTTGCTCTCTGCTTCCCAATTGTGGGCGGGACCTTCCTAGCTGCTCTAAGCTCCTTCCTGCTTAGCTTCCCTGCTATGATGGAATATTTCTGGAACTGTGAGGCAGAATAAATATTTTCTCCCTTAACTCAATTTTATTCAGGCTATTTTATCACAGCAACAGTCTATTTGTTGTACAAATTTTAATTTAATTCAGTTGTGATCAAGTGATAAACACAAAATTATAGACATTTTATATACATGAGTGAACTAGTCAACACATTAAAGAGAGGACCTGCAGTCATGGGATGGAATAATGAAGGACCTAGTAACTTCTGGAATTCCAAACTAAGAGTACTTTAGTTTATATTTTAGTATATATTCACAAAATCATACTTTCACACACACATATAGATAAAAATATTTTTTTAACTTTCATTGGTTCTTTGTGAATCTCACATCCTGCACCCCAATCCCACTCATTCCCCCTTCCTATGTGACTGCCCTCTACCCTTGCAATAACACTCCCCCAACAGACAAAGAATCTCATTTCATAAGTTAGAGTGTGTCACGTTATGTCCCACAGTATACCCTCTTGTCTACATTTCTTTGCTTGCAAGTGTTCATTGCAATGACTCATTGGTCTGGTGTGAGGTCTCTGGCTTCTGCTACTCTAATGGAAACTCTCTGGGTTGCCTCTTGGATAGCCTGTTGTTGCCCTGTGTCATGGAGATCCTGTGGTTTTGGATCTGTAGAACCATCTCGTTCATGCATTCCAGCAGTTCATTGCTGGGGAAGATGTTGGGTGGGCCAATTCAAAGCCCTGGATCTGGGCTTGAGAGGTATCTGAGCTGGTCAGTCCACCAGCTCTCCCATTCTCATGCCCTCAGACTGGCTCACTGGCAACCCCCAAAACCAGGGCCAGCTCCACCCTGCTGCCCAGGTGAGGTGCAGTGTCCATTCTCCCAAATGTTGCAGCTGGTGAAGGACATGGCCAGTTCTCCCATTCTCATGACCCCAGGACCAGCTCTCCTTCCTGCCATAGGTGACAAGGGACAAGCAAGAGGAGAAGGGCATCTCTCCCCTGTCCTCGCCATTGTACAGCAGACATGACCTACACTCACGCCCTTGGGGCTGGCTCACCTGCACCTTCCCACTACCAGGGTCGGCCTTATTGTGCTGCACAGATGAGGTGCAGGGCTTGCTCTCAAGAGTGTTACAGCAGGTGCTGGGTAGGACCAGCTCTCCTGCTCTCATGACACAGTCGGAAACAGCTCTCTTGCCTGCCAAAAGTGTTAAGGGCAAAAGGGAGGGGAGGGGATCTCTCTCTTGCCAATGTCACCTCACAGCAGAGGAGAGGCAGGACTGTTTCTCAGACCTCAGGGCCAGCTTGCCTGCAACCCCCACATCTATGATGCTGCCCCAGCAAGGTGCAGAGACTACTCTCCTGAGTGCTGCAGTAGGTGAAGGGCAGAGCCAGCTCCCCTATCTGCCTTAGGCAGCAAGGGGTGAGGCCGTCTTTCTTTTGCCCATGTCACTGCATGGCAGCTCTTCCACATCACACTTTTGGGGCTGGCTTGTCTGTGTCTGTCATGAGGGTCAGCCCTACTGTGCTGCCCAGGTAAGATACAGGGCTTACTCTCCCAAGTGCTGCAGCTGGTGAGGGGCAGGGGCAGCTCTCCTGTTCTCGTGATCCCAGGGACATGTCTCCCATGATGCCTAGGTGAGAGGTGGGGCCAGTTCTGCACAACCCTTAGACAGTAACATGTTCCTGGGCAGCAGTCCAGACCAGGGACATCTGCCTTGCCTTTAGTGGCAACAGACCTCTGCTGCTGCCGTGTCACAGACCCATACATAGCCTCTGGTGGCAGCACAGATCAGGACCCCACCATGGTCCCAGGTGACATCACCAGCTCCTCACGTCAGGCTGTTCCTCACTACCCTGGAGTCTCCAGTTCTGCCTCTCTTCATTGTGCCCACATCCTTCTGCTTCTCTTTCTCTTCCATTTCTTCAACACTAACTTGTTCCTCTTAGAGGCACCCAGTGTCTCTAAGTGTCTGGGGTTGTTTCATGAGTGGTCTCTGGAGTGCTATGCCCTCTAGTGCACAGTGCCACTGGGCAGAGGTCATCTTGAGCTGTCCCACCTCCACCCCCAGGCCTGTGAAGTACCTGAATGGTAGTCCTCTCAGGCTAGCCTATGACACCAGTCTGGTGGTTGTGTCTGGCTTGCTTCTTGCTAGGCTCCCATGTCAGAACCATCTGTCTCTGGCTTCCTTCTGCCTGGAGTTCAAGGTCCCAGGTGGGATTCTTCTAGTCTCTGACTAGCTCTCCTGTCTGGGAGCTAATCTGGACCTGTGTGTACCAAACTGGTGTTAGTCTCAGTCTAGGTCCCTGTTGTCTGGGGCCCCTGGTGCTGGACTGGTGGTTGTCTCTGGCTCACTTTTTTCAGAAGATGTTAGGCTACTAATCATTCAGATGTTCATAGGTCAGAACACTGAGCATAGACATGGCCTCTCTCAATTCTGCCACCTACTGATAGACATGTGACACAGCAGCCACACCTGCAAGCCTTTAGGGGGCAGTATGCATTTTATTTTTTTATTTCTTCCCAATCTGCTTTTATACAATTTTAATTACATGCAAGTATTAAGGTCAGTTCTAGGTTGAGGAACTAGCGATACAATAGATGCAAATAGTCAAGGAACAAGCAAGACAATAAACACAAATAGTCAAAGAACAAACAAAGCAATAAACAAAGTCCCGTGATCACTCCCATGAATGCTGTATCTAAAGGCTTATCAGGATGACCAAAATAACTGAGCCTACTTCCCTGTCCTATCCCAAAGTCATTTTCATGCCTGAAGTCTACTTCTTTGTTCTAGTCTAAGATTTAGATTCCTGCCTGAGATTTTTAGGTGAAAGTGTGTGTGTATATACACAACTGTGTGCTAACACCCCTTGGGAATGAGAAGAAGGTTTTGCACTCCCCTGGAGCTGGAGTTATAGATTGTCGTGAGCAGCCTGGCTTGGGTTGTAGGTTTTCAGTAAATGTGTTGATGTTATGAGTTTTCCTCCTGATGATTTATGTGTCTCATTTGATTTTTAAAAAATGAGTCAAAAGCAGGAGTAGTAGCTCGTATCTGTAATCTCCAGACTCTGAGATGCTGAGAACGGAAGAAAAGGAGTTTGAGTCCAGCCTGGGTTACACAGTGAGCTAGCTCCTAGCCAGCATAGGGTTCAACAAATAAACAAAAGCCACAGCAAAAACAAACAAACAAGAAAGACTCGGGCTATGCAGACTGGCTTTAATAATCCTCCTTAGCAATCACTCTACTCCTTTGATTTACAAAGGAAGACAGTCAAGGGTAGGAATCTTCAGATAAACAATCACTGCAGTATGTTGACCCAACTGTACTTGCTATTCGAAGCAGAAGTGGTCGTGTTTTATCTAGGTTTTCAACAACTTCGAAAAATAGTATTTGTAAGCCATGTTTCTTGGTCTTTGAAGGATGGGGGGGGGGCAGAAAACAAAAGAAATATGAACTAAGACAATCTTGAGAAGTACCAGGTAGGCTTTTGTCCTAGGGCTGGCAAGGCTATTTAATACCACAGTGTTCAATTGCTTCTTCTGGTTTTGAGTACAGTTTAAGGGAAGAAAGATTTTTAATTTTGCTTTTTCTCTTTATTGGCTGGAAAATAGCTTGGAGTAATTTGTTCCAAGATGAGGCTGCACATGGAGGGCATGTGCTTGATCCCCTTCATTTCTAAAACTTGATTGCACAGGGGAACAGTCAAACTAGGCACACAGTCTTGGGGACAAGTGCCTGTACCCATTACTTTTCTTACTACTGGGATAAAACACCTGATTTAAGGAAGGGTTTATTTTGACTTACAGTTTGAGGGGACACATTCCATCACAGCAGTCAAGGTGAATGGCTGAGTGGTCACATTATATCTAAGCACAAAACAGTGAATGCTCCTGTTTGCTTAGCTTGATCTCTTTTATGCATCCTGGCTTCCCAGCCTTCAGAATGGTACCACCCACATTTAGGATGGATCTCTGCATCACAATGAAGTAAGTCTAGGTAATCCTTTACAGATACGCCCAGGCTCTTGTTTTTAGATCTGGTCAAACTGACAGTCAAGAACAACCATCAGGATGACCGGCAACTCTTATGCTACTCTTGATTTATCATTGAAAACTAAGGGCAGAGAGATCGGAGGCCAGCCTTCGTGCTGATGCTTTGAACTGTGAGAGGATGCCATTCTCATTTCTTTAAGATTTCTCCACCCTGTGGAGGTGAAATCCCAGAGCTGAGTTTGCCTTCTGCACTTCTACACTAGACTGGAGAGTTGGGAGGATTTTCTGGTATAAGAAAGTGACTTTTTCTGTTTACTTTCACGTTCGTCTGCATCTGCTTTGATTTTTCTGACAGCCAACTTGTCCTCATGTTCTTTTCTTCTTCTTAAGTTCAATTCTAAGGGCCTTAAGGTTTATGGAGATTCATCTTACCCTCTATGTTAGTTACCTTTGCATTGTGGCGACCAAAACACCCGCCAGAAACAATGGAGGAAGGGTTTATCTAGGCTCATGGTCTCAGAAGGTTACAGGTCACCATATTTAGGAGGACTCAGCTGAGCTGCTCAGTGTGTTGGTGAGAGCACAGCATAGTGACTACCACGTTCTTATACCAATGTGAAGCACAGAGTGGGGATAAGAACCTGAGACTAGGCTATCATGTTCTAAGGTCCATGCCTCATGAAGGACTTCCACCAGACACCTCACACCTAAAGGTTCCACAGTCTCTCCAGACAGCATCAGGAGCCAAAGAGCCATGCAGGACACCTCAGATTCAAATCACATCTTCTGGCAGTAGGTTTCTGAGTCTTCAATTTTAGTGTTTAGTATTGTTATTAGATTTATCTTTCCCTGGGATTTTATAGGTATTTGTTATAAAACTACAGGACACCAGGTTAGAAGCAGTTTGCCAGATACTTATTGATTCTCAATATAAAGTCTGAAATTCAGAAGGTTTAATCTGTTATAAGGTTATCATTTGCTTTTATAGGGAAGATGGCTTAGACTTCTTTGAGCCACTCAGGAACAAGCATAGAGTGGGGTTGCTAGTTCAAGATGCTCTCGCTCTCTTGCTCTCTCACTCTCTTGCTCTCGCTCTACACATAATCCTGCACTGTGGAGCCATTGTAGATGGTCAGGATTAGGTGTCAGAGACCACAGTATGTATTCTTTTTAGGAGTTTGCAGTCTAGTCTACCTTCACCTGCTCATGCGTAAGGGAGCAGGCAGGCTACGTCTGGACCATGGCTGTTGGAGAGGTGGTTGCCTGTCTTGATCAATCTTTTCCCTGTTACTGCTTCCCACTTGGTAGCAGGAGCACCTCTGGTCTGGGAGAGCAACATGGGGGAATCCTGGGAAGCAATTCAGGTGGAGTAGATCCCTGTGACAGACAGAACTCAAACCATGGCGTTTATGACGACAATAAACAAGGAGAGGAGCTGTGTGTGAAAGCAGGGTGATGGAAAGAGGGTCAGAGAAGTCACCTGTCAGGAAACAACGGTCCTTCAGGATGATAGGAAATGATTTATGTGGGCCTCTCCACATGGGTTCTGGGCCAAAGGATTCCAGGGAGGATAAAGCAGAGGATAACTGAGAGGACACCTGAGCAGAGGAATGATCAAAGGTAAAGATGTTATACTCATAACCACAACCCAACTTCTGATTTGGCCTCAGACTTAGGCTAGATGCAACAAAAATAGAGAAGTAACTCAGACAACCTTATTATGCCATAATGGCGCTCAACCTTCTCTTCCTGGTGCTGTGACTCTATAATACAATTCCTCATGTGGTGACCTCAACCATAAAATTGTTTTTGTTGCTACTTCATAACTGTAAGTTTGCTACTGTTATGAATCATAATGTAAATATCTGGTATGGCATGTGACCCCTGTGAAAGTGTTCATTGACTCCCCAAAAGGGGTATGACCCCCAGAACCGGTGACCTATGGGCTGGTCCCGGAGCTGTCCAGCCTCTTTGTAGCCCACACTGTAGTTCCTATGGTTTCTAAGAAACTAAGCAGGCTTGAAAGAAACTAAACTTGCAGAACCTCATCTGTGTCAGAAGAGGGCACTCTTTCCTAACAGACTGTTCCTACCAACCTTTTAAAAGCAAGCCAGATTGGCTGACCTTTCCTCTCAGCTAAAAGAGACACATGGGTATTTTATTCAGAGTTGGGGCACAGCTGCCTGTGCAACACAGCCAACAGAAATCCCCGATGTTAGAGCAAAGTGATAGACTTGGGATCTTGTGTGGCTACACACCATGGAATCTACAAATACATAATGAGAACTGCACACATGTCAGGGTTCTTCCAGGTTAGAAGTACAGGAGAGGCAGATGAAGAGGCAGTGATCTGTGGTGATGAATAAGGTATGGTATACAGTAGCCTAAACACATATATCTTAGGATGACTCTAACCATGACATTTAAGACATTGAAGAAATACCCAACACTGCTAAAATGGCCAAGATCTGAGACTAGATAGGTCACAGGACTAGGGAGAAATCCTAATACTATTATTCTGTGAAAGGAACATAGCCACAGACTGACTTCTAATGACATTCTGCTATACTATACAGAGAAGCTGCTTTTTGCAGTAGATGAGCACTAACGTAGAGAGTCCCAAATGGACAATGTGTGCAGTGAGAAACTTAGGAGCACCCTGTCCTCAGTGTGAAGTCTTCATAAAACCCTTTCCTCAGGACTCAGTGATCTATGCAGAAAAGGAAGTAGTACGTTTGTAAGAGCCAGAGGTGATGGTTGACTGGAAGGAAGTAGTGTCTTCCAGAAACAACTAGACTGGGAGGAAGAAGTAGAAAAGGGCTCTTAGCCTTAACTAAGAAACTATCTGCAGTTGATCTCTGCTAAAAAAAGAAAAATTAGACTGCAATGGAGTCTCACTGGGTAACTGACCACACATCAGAGTAGGCTTGCCCAGGAGTAGCTGGCTGACACAAAATGAACTCAATGGTGTGTTGTACATTTTTTATGTCTCATTTGATTTGTTTGGATTAAAAAATATTTCTTTATTTTATGTGTATGAGTGATCTATCTGCATGTATGCCTGCATGCCAGAAAAGGACACCAGATTACATTATAGATGGTTGTGAGCCACCATGTGGTTGCTGGGAATTGAACTCAGGACCTCTGGAAGAGGTGCCAGTGCTCTTAGCCACTGAGCCATCTCTCCAACCCTGTTTGGATGGGTTTTTTTTTTTGTCCTTTCAGTCTTTTGATTGTTTAGTTTGATTTCTATTGTGTGTGCGCATGTGTGTGTTTCTTGTTTTTATTGTTTGAGAGAGAGAGAAAGAGAGAGGGAAAGGGAGAGAGGAGAGGAAGAGAGGAGAGAGATCATAAATTTTGGGAGTAGGTGGGTATAAGATCTGGGAGGAATTGTGAAAGAGGAAAACATACTCAAAATATATTGTATGAAATTCTTTTCTCCATTTGAAAAAGAGATGTGGTGGGAAGTACCTTGAATTAGAGTTGTAGATCTGCCAATTCC